AAGAATAAAGAAGGTGGGGTGAAGGAGATACCATGCAGCATTGGGGAAGGAAGGTAGGAGGTAACAAGCCACAAGCCTCATGGTAAAATACTGAATAAGATAAATGGGTTAATTTAATCATGAGAGATACTATGTCTGAGCCACTGGCAGAACTGGAACTGAGTTACAGACAGGTGTAAGTTGCCATGTGGATGCTGAGAATTGAATCTGGGTCCTCTGAAAGGGCAGCCACTGCTCTTAACAACTGAACCATCTCTCCAGCCCCCTACAGAACTTAATGGCGGTTATTTTTATGCTACTTATATACACTACTGCTTTAATCCTATCTTCACTCTAACAGAAGTTATTTTCAATCCAGTACTCAAGTATTCTAATCTACTTCCCAATGCAGAAGAGAAAGAAACGAAAGAGGACTAGCTCCTGTTAAAATATTTACTTAATGGGCAAGGCCCATAACCAGAATAGTAATTTGAAGTTGATATGGAGGAAGACCAGGAAGCACTGCAAGGAACACGTTACTGATATTTCAATTTTTGCATTGAGAAAGAAAATGACAGAATATTCAAAAATGAAACAAACTAAAGAAACTGAGTATACATCAAGTTTACAAAACAGTAAACAAGTGGCACCATACAAGTAGTACTACAGGTGTGGCCTGGGTCAGCAGGGCAACACTACCTGTGCCTAAAACACACACCGAATCCCAGACCCAACTCCAGGCTGCTTTGATGACCCAGCCCATGCAAGACATTCCCTCACATGCTACTCTGGGAATTCATCCTGATTTTCCACATCCCAGTTTTCCTCATTTTATATTTACAAAACTAAGTCATGGGTAATGTTTCTGCAGAGTACTCTATTTGTACAACCTTTTATATGTGGGAGGCTCACCTGCTAGGAGTCTCGCAGGGGCCGCTAGAGCTGCTGTACAATTACAGCGTTGCTGTCCTAAAAGTTCAACCAACCTCTCCTACTTGGGAGTAGATCCTACTACACTCAACTACCCACACAATCCTTGAAGAACCATTTTCCAGTATAGCCCCTCCACCCCCACCCCAGTGACAGAGATCAAATGCAAGACTCCAAAATGCTAGGTGAGTCCTCTATCACTGAGCTACTCAAGTTTTAAAAACAACACTTAGTTAGCAATAAACAAATTCCTGAACATCCTTCCTCATCTTGAGGCAAGAAGCTGGACAATTAGGGATGTGACCTGAAAACTTTTGAACCAAGGCTTTATTCTTTTAAGACAGAATTTCTAAACAAAATCAATCTAATTAGACTAAAGAGTCTCACTAGGTTCCACTGTGGTCTTCAGAAAGCTCAGCTTAGTTAAATGAGATGATAATCCCAGTACCCAGAAGGCAGAGGCAGGCAGATCTCTGTTGAGTTCCATCCAGGTTAGCCTTGTCTACAAAGTGAGTTCCAAGACAGCTATGACTGTTACACAGTGAAACCCTGTGTACTAACAAACAAAAAACTCTGCCAAAACCAAAAAAGGGGAGGGGGGGCACTGGATATCTTGGGTGTATATACACTTGCTTTGCTATAATTTCCTCAGCTACAAAAACAGAACTCCAAGCACAATGGTCCATGCCTGTAACCCATGACTCGGGAGGCTGAGGCAGAAGGACTGCAGTGGGTCAGAGGCTAGCCAGGTGTACTCTATCTCACTCTTCCTCTGGGGTAGGAGAGGAAAAGTACTACATGTTAACTGAAGTGCTCTGTATGGTTATAACTCTAAATTGCATTAAATTTGAGATTTAAAAAAAACCCCTCCTAATGCAGAGACATAATTCAAGGAGGTGTGAATGTAGGTAAAATGACAGTAATGTAAGACAGTGTATTTTTCACCAGTGGAAATCAGGCATTTTCACATCACTGTTCCAAATACTGCAGAGGCACCTCAAAGTAAACATTTGTGTTCATCAATAGTTGTAGACAGTAATGCTAAGAAATTAGAACTGCTGCTAGAGTTTGTAATTTAAGTACCAAAAACAGTGGGCACATGATACTCCAGTGCTCAAATTCAAATCATCCTACACAGCCAGCTGGAGTCCAGCCTGAGCTTCATAAGACTCTGTAAAAAGGACCCAGAAACTATGGCCCAATGTGGATTGATGTGATGTCTAGATTTTGGGGTGTGTGTGTGCGTGTGCGTGTGTGTGCGCTTAAATAGCCTGAGAGTTAAGAGTGGTTTTTATGTTTTTGAATAACATTTTAAAGACTTTAAAGCATATTATATTTTATGTTTTTGGGTGTTAGACATTAGCTTAGGGTGGCAAAGAAAGAGCACCATTTCAACTGAAGTGTTTCAACAAGGCAAATTTTACTCTTGATCAAGAGGGTATGCTCAAGAAGAGGGAACACACCTAGATAGGATGTGAATTTGGTTTTTTACTCTAAGGAAGATGGTGACTGATTGTCTTTCTCCATTGAGGGGGAGGGGAGAAGGGTTCCTGGGTCTCACTCTAGCTCAGGCTGGCCTTAAGCTCTTCAGAAGCCTCTTGTCTTAGCCTACACAGTGCTAGGATAGATGTGAGCCACTATATCCAGATGTATTCTTATTCCTATGCATACAATGAAGTAACTGTCTACTTGCAATGATAAAAAAAAAAATCAAAAGGTAATTAGTGCAGATCCCCTGCCCTCATCCCAACATAACTGTACATTCCAGGAAAGCCAGTGAAGTATTCTGCTTAGACCACTAATAGTTCTAAAATACACCATTGTCCAGAGCTAATGGAAATTAGTGAGAAACCCTCAAGGTTCAAATTCAAACTCATTTCAAAAAGAAAACAGAGCCACTTCTGTTGTGGGCACTCTGCTGATTTGTTAACAAAAATCTTTATAAAAACATTTGCTGACTTTTCTTTAATGTGTATTTTTTGTTTTACCTGCATGCGTGGCTCTGCACCAAGTGCATGCCTAATGCCTGAGGAGGCCAGAAGAGGGAATCAAATGCCCTAGAATTGGGAGTTACAGACACCTGTGATCCACTGTGAATGCTGGGGATCAAACCTGGGTCCTCTGAACCTGTAAGCCATAACTGCATCCTTCCCATTAATAAATCTCAAGTGGGCATTAAAATGTCTACCTAACAGACTGGGTTATCTGATAATCAAATCACATTTTGGGAAAAGGAAAAATCATTGCTATAATGAACATAACTGTAGCTATGAAAATGGATAACCACATACAAGTGATTACATGTGTGTTTTTAAAATGAACGAATGCTACTGGAAGTGGTAGAGCATGCCTTTTAGTCCCACCGTGACTTTGGAGGCGAAGGCAGGTGGAATGAACACAAGTTTGAGGTCAGCCATTGCCACAGTGAGGAAGAGGAGGTGGTGGTGGTGGTGGTAATGTTCATTTTAATCTCTGACTAAACCAACACACAATTTAGCATGTATGCATTAAGTATGACATTTAAACTACTATTCCACACCTACTTTACTCCAGATGGACATTACACAAACATAAAGCAATGCTCTTAAATCTATGGACTATTATGGAGACAAGAGCAGAACAGCTGATCCCAAGCACACATCCCAAAAAGAAAGTTTCCAACAATGCCTAAGACAGAGCAAACCTGACTTCCTCACACATGAGCTAGTGATGTCACTCCTGAGTTCAAAGAATTAACCCTCCAGCTTACTAATCTACAAAATTTCACCCAAAAGTCAGCATAGCACATCTTGGCAGATATATCACTAAAATATATCCACCACACAGGCTGACATGGAAAGCCAGAAAACTATATTCAGGATGACACAGCTAGGTGTGGTATCATGTCTGTAAATCTAGCACTCATGTCATCCTGAACTAGAGACAACCAAGTTCAGGGCCAGCCTTGGCTACCCAAGAAGTTCAAGGTCAGGCCGTAACTCTCAGACTGACAGTCTGAATAACACACCACTGTCCACCTCTCTCAGCCAATATGAACATTTCCTTGAACATTAACTTCAGGCCTAGCTTACCAACTAGCACACTGGATTCACTATAACAAAATGATGCAGCACACAATTTTTTAAAATAAAAATAAATTATACTTTCAAATTATTTATTTATGTGGATGTCTGTGCACATGCCCACATAGGCCAGAAGAGGGCATCAGAGTCCTTGGGGCATCATAAGAGGCTGTATGCCACACAAATTTGCATCCTTAATAGCAGTAAGTGCTCTCAAGCACTGACCCACCTTTCCCGTCACCTTTAACTATCTGAAAAGCACAAACTGAACTCCTACATGGTTTCAAAGGGCCAAGAGACTAGGACAGCAGGGTAACTGGCTTTTTTGTTGAGTTTGTCCTATTTTGTTTTAACTTGGATCAAATCAAAGAAAATCTGGATGATCCATGTCTATAGCTCAGCAGCTACCTGAGAATCTGAAGCAGGGAGATCTCATGAGCTCATGAGTTCTATGCCAGCCTGGGCAACACAGAGAGACCCAATCTCAAAACAAAGCCAAGCTCAGAAAAGAGCCCTTACTGGGAAGCTCTGTGTCTGTCACACAGGTAACATCTACTCCAAAATTCTACACATCTCAAAGGTGTCAAAGAGCTATCTGCTTGGCAGTTACAGCAGAAAGGAGCACAGAGACTCTGAGTTAATTCTGTTACTGTACTAGTTTTGAGAACAACAGAATATTTGAAGGCCCCAGGAATATAATAAGATCTGATTTTACTTTGTTAGGCAGTTATTTTGCCAATAGGCCAAGAGAGAAGAAATTCTAAGGCCGGGAGGTGGTGGCGCACGCCTTTAATCCCAGAGAGAAAGAAGAAATTCTGCACTCAAAGTAGCCAGTATAACAGGATGACATTTGTTGGTAAACATAAACTCAAGAATTATAATAAAAAATTAACATAAGGGCTGTGAATGCACTTGCAGACAGAGTCTACACTGTTATGTATTGGCCAATGCTGGGTTCGTATTTGTCACAGGAGAGTGGAGCCACCATGAATTCCCTATGCAAGAAATATTAAGATCAGCATTACTCACGTGATATCCCTTCGTTGATAGCAGCCCTGAAGCAGGCAGGCAATCAGATCACTGATAAACTCCGAGTCATCTCTGTGAAGAGCTGCCTCTAACTCCTGAGAGAGGAGGGAGAGAGAAATAGATCAGAGATCTGTTTAAATGCACTGTCCCTCCAGCACCAGGCTGCAAGCAACAGAATGGTTAGTGGAAATAAAGGACTGTCATAAACAACGCTGCTCTTCTTCCCATGTATACTTTCAGAAGGATAATTTAGCATTCTAGTTTATTTCTTCCATTACTTCTTACATCTGCATCTTTCACATCCTTCATATTAGAAGAAATATACAAGCATATTTTTTATGAACTGGTGCTAATTATATAATCAAAGAACTTGATAGGAAATGTTAGTGGGGGGCGGGGGCAAGACTGGAGGTTGATGGTGAGCTGTCTTTTTCAATCACTTCTCCACCTTATTTTATAAGACAAAGTCTCATCAAAACGGGAGATTGCTAGACTGAACCTGCACCTCTACCTCCCCAGCACTAGGCACATAACTCCAAATCTGACTTGCTTACACGGGGAGATTAGAACTCAGGTCCTCATGCTTGCATAGCAAAGCACTTTACAGAATGAATCACCTCCTTGGTCCCTTGCTTCATGTTTTAATGACAATGAAGATTATAGAATCACCATACAAGTAATTATAAATTACTTCTCATTTACTCGACAGTATTATTAGATAACCCACCTGGCAACAGGCTTAAGGAACCACTAAGTTTTGAACAAAGCAGCACTGCGAGAATGCAGTGTGGCTCTACCTACAGGCCTGATAAAAAGCACGTTGGTGGGAGCTGGGCGGTGGTGGCGCACGCCTTTAATCCCAGCACTCGGGAGGCAGAGGCAGGCGGATCTCTGTGAGTTCGAGGCCGGGCTGGACCAACAGCCTCCAAAACAATACAGAGAAGCCCTGTCTCATAAGAACAAAAACAAACAAACCAAAAAAAAAAGCACGTTGGTGGGAAAAGATTGTTCTTACATCATCTGAAGTAACAACTGCTAATAATTTAATCCTAGGGGAGATGAATTTGCTTGCCCTGAAAGTTCAGGTGGACACTGCAGAAGACAGCTAATCTTCATACAGAACCTAGAAATTAAGAGATAGGCCAATGGACAAAAAGTAGCAGAGGGAAACATCAGTAATCTTATTTCTCTTCTCAACCTTCTAAAGCAAGAATGTTTTCAGAAGTGGTGGATATGCTCTAAGCCATCAGCTTTTATACAATCAAAGTTTACTTGCATTAAAACGGATTCCCAAGAGCCTGCTTCCAACTATTTTACCACTAGATCTACGGGGGGGGTATATCAAACTTTTGGGCACCTTACTTCGAATGCAAGACATATGATTTCTGATTTCAACACCAATTATATAGTATATAGGTTCATTTTCTCTCTCTTTAAGTCTTACTATAGAGAAATAATCAACTTTTTATGGAATCTTAACAAATTGTTCCATTTATTTAAAGCCATGAATTTGAAGTCTTTATTCTCAAAATGTAATAGGCTACCTGAGACTCTAAAATAAATAACAAAACCCAAAACAAATCATTACCAACAACAACAACAAAAGGGCTCACAGTTTAAACCTGTTCATAGAGGAAGATTCCAAAATAAATGGTCGGCTGTTCTAACAGTAGCTAAATCCTGGAAGCAAAAAGCTGTAGGCCATTCACTTGATAGGAAGTCAGAACCCAGAAGTGCTTAAGCTAGAAGGTCAAATACAGGCCATAATCTTCAATTCTCTCAATGGATAGCTAGACCTAGCAGAGCGCATCTGCAATTTCAATACTTGAGCAGAACAGAAGAACAGTCAAGGGTTACAATAGCAATATTATTTCCAAAACAAAAACCTAAAAGCAGTCTCAAAGAATGACTTTTCTAAGTCAGTAAATCAGTGGGCAGAGCCAAGGGTGCAAAGGGAAAAACCAGTTACCCAGCCCAGTATTCTTGGGCAAACAAAACTCCCTCTCCCTCATTACAGTCTTTATTTTATTTTTAAAAGGCTCAATGGTTCAGAGGGTAAATAAAGGCACTTGCTACCCAAGCCTGGTGACCTGATTTCCATCTCTGAAGCCCATGTGAAGGTGTCTTCTCCTCTACATACTCACACATAGTCATAATAATAATTTTAATTTTAAAAAAATGACGGCTCTCCTGCTCAGCATCCTGCCATTAGACCATGCTGACATCAGAGAATCAAGCACCCATGTGTGGTCAGCACAGCCCACACCAATCAGAAACAAGGACAGAAAATCTGCAGGAAGAGACAAACTTCTGAGGATTATAAAAGCCCAGACCCCAGGCCCCATCAGGTGCTGGTCTCCAACATACCTCAGTGCACAAGAGTCACATAGCAACAAGGGAACCCATCTAAGGAATGTGTGTCCCACCAGGCTCTCCTGCCTCTGGCCCTGGTGAATGTGGAGGGTCTGGTACCCTAGTTGACCTGGTTAAGCAAAGCTGAGGTCATAGCCAGCTAGGCTCTGTAGCTCTCATGTGCCATTGCTCTGGAGGAGCATCTGCTACGGAGCCAGCATCCACTTCTCTTTCCCCACTTGTGAATGTGGACATGGTAGCTTGCAGTGTACTAGAAACTTGTGCCGCCCCTACCCAAAGCTCAAGTGAGTTAACTGTCTCTAGATGTAGAGGTATCACTTAGAGCTAGACTGTTAGGTTGTTAAGATTCTTTTGCTGTGAGCAGTTTCCTTTTTTCTGGGGTGTAATGTGTAAGCAATAAACAGTACATCCAAAAAACAAAACTGAACAAAAAAACCTGACTGCCTATTTCTCTGTAATGAGTAAGTCACATTCAAGATACTTGTCTTTTACAAGTCTTCCTAGATGACTTTCACTTGGTGATCCTGCTGCCAAAATGCCATAGCTACATTAACATATTGTAACACACACTCTATAGGACTTACTATGTTCCTTTGTCCACCACATTGACTCAGACGAAACTCAATCAAGCACCACTCTTCCGTGCTGTGGATGGAGCTCAAGGCCTTCATTATAGACAAGTGTTCACCACTGAAATATATATTTATATATATACACACACACACCTACCTCTACTCACCTCCCCCCTTAATAACAACTTTTTAATTGATTCTTTGGGAATTTCACATCATGTACCCTAATCCTGCATACCTCACAGTCCCTCAATATCCCAAAAGAAAACACTCGCCCCAAATTTTTAATTGAAAACAAAACAACAACAAAACACCTCACTCTTCATCTTTCCCTCCTCTCCAACAACCTCTTCACCCACTTGGGCCTTGGTGGTAACAGGAGCCATGAACATCAACTCAGACCCTGGTTGCTGTAGGGCCAGAGACCCAGACATGGTCCTTGGCAGCAGCCCAACCCAGATGACACTATGGAACAGGTGGCAACACAAGCCACTCAGATCAGCATGGCCCTGGCGGAGGCACAGTCCTTGGACACCAACATAGGTTACAGTCTAGACCCCAGAGATCTGTGTGGCTTTTGGTGGCAACATGAGGTCATAGACATCAACACAGACCCTGACTGAGATACAGCCATGGATCCAGAAATGGCCCTACACTGTAGCATGGGATACTTGGGTCCTTTAATGTCACACTTCTACAAGACTTTTCCCCCAGAGAATTCTAGGGCAACAGTTATTAAGGCTAGGTTCTGCAGTACACACAATCCCAGCACCTAGGAAGCAGAGAAAGGCAAGCCAGAGCTACCCTTACCTTATCTCCTCCCACTCCCCAAATACTTAAATATAGTTGCTTTATCTCTCTCCAACAGGTAATGGTGAGTCCCAGCAGTTTGTAGCATTAAGCACAAAGACAGTGAAGCATGCCATTATCTCATTCTGTGGTGGGATGTATATAAGAATGTTGTAGGAGAAAACAGCAACAACAAAGAAGCCATTTTAATCCTGCTAAACAAAAGAACTGGCTTGGTTAACCTTTTCCATGCTAGTTTAATAATATAGAGTCTCAGACACCGAAAATAAAAAAGTTCTGGAGATGCACCACTAAAATGTGCACCCAAGCAGCAAGTAGTAAGGTAATACTGAACTGCACTTACAAATGGTTTCACAGAAAATGATCATTTAAACAGTCCAGTTTTAAAATTTGTTGCAACAATTTGAAGTATTTTTCTGTTGGGAATATATACTGAGTTGTTCCCTTTAAAGGTGTCTATCTTGGAAGTACAGTGATGACTCAGCAGTTAAGAGCACTAGCTGCTCTTCCAGAGGACCTGAGTTCAACCCCACAACCCATATGGCAGCTCATAACTGTCTGTACCTCCTGTTCCAAGGGAATCCAATGTTCTCACACAGACATACATGCAGGCAAAACACCAAATGCACATAAAATACAAATGAATACATTATATATATTGAAAAGGCGTCTATCTCCAATGACTGCTGTGATAAGGTGGACCGGCATGGTCCCTGACATATATTATAAACAGTACACATCATCTTCCTTACAATGACAGTCAACGCAAACACTAAAGAGATAAAACTATCTTCTTCAAAATTCACAAGTTCCTGAATAAAAATTGAAATTCTCTTTAACCCACAGTCCACTATGTCCATGTTCTAATAAAGCTGCCTGCAAAGAACTACTTGGAAATTCTGGTTATTCAAAGCTTTATTATTTGAGGTTTCAACCTACAGCTTAAGTCTTAAGACTGAGGCAGCAAGGAGCCTCCCAAAAATCTCCACCCCAACTTTTTTTTTCTTTTCTCACTTTCTCTCCAACTCTTTTGTATCTCCCTTTCACGGTGTGCAATGAACTGTGAGCACCGAAATCTGACCTTTGCCAAGATGCTTAGGGGCAGAAGAGGAAAGGAAGGGAAAGAGCAGAAAAGGCAGCAGATCGGCAGAGAGGGGAACCTTGTTCCCATCCACTCTGCAGCTTCAGAGAGTAGGTGAAGAGAGTAACAGGATTTGCCCCTCTTGCAGCTGGCGTCACAGCTCATTAGTGAAAAGTCTGATCAATGCCCCCCACCCGACACACACACTTTCCCTGCCCTGGAGAGCAAATCTTTCCAACATGCAGTGGCTGAGCGAGGG